ACAGCTTTCTCTATAAGCGTTTGAAGTGTTGTAGGGCGTTCTTCTTTGCTGAGTTCATCCTTAATAGAGCTCTTGAGCCCTTGGTAGTAAGTGAAGACTAAGGCTTCTTCATTCCAAGTCAAGTGAGAAGTGATTCTCCTAAATTCTGTTGTATACTGAGCAGCAGAGGTCTTTTGACATAGCTTCTGTAGCTCTCTTTCTGCTGTAGCAGTTTCGTTGATGTCTCCAAAGGTCCTGGTAAGTTCCTCTTGAAACTGGTCATAAGAGGTAATCAAAGGTGTAGTGGTATTTTGGTTGTTGCCACTAAGTCTTCTAAGATATGGCTCAAAGAAGTTGAATGCAGATCCACGGAGGTAGCTGGCAGCGAAATAGATCTTCTGAATGTCTGAGGTGAACTGATGAGGCCTGAGGGTGAAGTAGATGTCCAGTTGCATAAGAAATCCCTTCAACTTCCTCCTGTCTCCATGGTATAAATCTGGTGTTTGCACTTTAGGAAGTGCACCTGGGGTACTCGAAATAGCCAGAGGAGCTGTGGGAAGCTCTGTATGATGTGTCTGAGTTGAAGATTGTGTTGCTGAAGTGTTGGCTTGAAAGGTGTTTTCCAAATTCTCAAGTTTGTTTGCTATAGTTTGTATAAAGGCAAACAGTTGTTGCATCTGCTGTTCAGCAGTAGTTGTAGGAGCTTGGTCGTCCTCCATTGTAGTATCGAAGTGCTGCTATAGAAATAGTTGAAGCTTGAAGCAGGCAAGGTGTAATGGTGGGTGCACCAGATATGAGAATCTAGCCACCCAAGGAAGGGATGAATTTACTAAGACAACACACTGTCTTAGGAAACAGAGCCAAAGGGTTGTAGCTTAGACTATTCCACAACGCAGCAATCAGGTGTATGATGTGGTGAAGTGGTTTAGACAAGTTGCAACAAATGTTGAGTCTGAGAACTCAGGGGTAAGTCAGAGGTTAGCACCTCACTGACTTTTCAAAAACAGAGAATAACAAGATCAATGCTTGGAAGCTTGGAAAAGACGTAGAAGTATGTGCTAGTCGATTTACTGTATTGCCTGCTTGCCCTTTCTTAAGGAAAGGGCAATCCTATTTATGCCAAAGGAGTGTAGTTCTCTCATTTTCCATGACTTTCCATGACTAACCAGGCTTGGTAAATGTATTAGAAATCAAGTGCGACCCACAACTAGCTTGCTAATCATGTAGTGAACGTAAGAGAATCCCATAGAACCATCTCTTGGGTTCCTAGCCTATAGGAAGTGAAAAGGAGGTCCAAGGTCAGAGTACCTATAGACAAATTATGTCATAACTTAACCAATCTTGTGGGTAACTAAGGAGCGATGACGTGTAATGAATCATAGAGGGTTGTAGAAGCTTCTAGAGCTATCGTTCATGTTCCTAGGCCTCTAGTTGGTAGAGATATGCCATGTGGTAGTATTGGCCCACCCCCTTAAGGAGGAGATTTTCTTAATAACTTGTTCAATGAGTGTCCAAATGATATGCCGTGATGTATGTAGCATAAACAGATGTAGTAGAAGAGTTTGCAGCAATCGTTGAGTAGTATTGCTTCTGTTGTTGGTGTGATAAGCCAAGATATGTATGGTGACTTGTAGGTTTGAGGAGGAGATTTCTAAGTTTGCTCTTGAGTTTGATAGCAAACTGAGTGCAACGAATGTCAGTATGACAGGAAGGCTCCAACCACATCCACTTGCTCAATTTCAAGTCCGAAAAATGCTGCGATTGCGATTGCGAGTTTCCATGTTGTTGTCTTGCACACTCCAGCATATGTCTGATCAAAATCAGTTCCCTGTTTCTGTCTAAAACCTTTTGCAACCCATCTCGCTTTGCGCTTCATGATAGAGCCATTCTTGTCTCTCTTGGTTTTGAGGACTAGCTTTCCTGGTAGCACTTTCGCGTGTGATGGTAGTTGAGTTCGCTGCATAAGCTTCCAAGTGCCCTTGTGTTTGAGGTTTCGGTATTCCTTTTGGATGGCGGCTTGCCATTCTGGCCAGTCTGCTTGCTGCTTTGCTTCTTCAATTGTACTTGGATCATCGTAGATAGATGTATGTGCTCCAGCTGTGAATGCTGCAATGAATGCTGAGCTCGAATTCTGGTTCTGTGACTGTTGAGTGAGCTCCATAGCTTGCGGTGGCTGTTGTGGTTGATATGGCTGTTGTGGTCGCTCCCGGGTTTGGTTGCGGGTGACCCTGTTGAACTCAGGTTTTGGGATATAAACCTTTCGAGTTCTCCTCGCTGTGATAGTGGGCATGAGAGGCCAGAGGAACTGTGGAATAGCCATGTCGATCATCGCAGTCCGCGTACGCTCGCAGATAATGCCAATTGACCGCTCTGATGTGCCATCCTGCTCTGGGTTGTAAGGAGTTGTCATTTCGATGATTTGCCCAAGTTCTTCTGCAAGTTCAGTGAGCTTCTTTGGACTGTATTCCTTTCCTCCATCCATTCTCCATTTCTTGATGATCTTGCCAAATTGTGTGTTGACCATCTTCTGATATTTGATGAGTGCATCATATGCCTCATTCTTCGCGCGATGAAAGTATGCCCATCGAACAGTTGTTGCCTTTTCTGTAAAGATAGTTGCATATTTCTTTTTTCCAATTCCTTCTGGCGTGATCATGACCACGTCAATGTGAACTTCATCGAACGGTTGCAAGTTTCGAGTTACAGCTTGCTTGCGAATGTGTTTCTTCGCCTTTCCTCTCTCGCATGGATCGCACAATTGGAGAGCTTCATCTTCTTGTTCTTGTGGCGTAAGGTCTTCCTCGTCAGAGATCGCCATGCCTCTCACCATTTTCGAGGTCTTCTGTACATTCGCGAGGCCAAGATGTCCAAATCTGCGATGCCAGAGTCGAATTGAGTGTGGAGGATTCTTCTCATTTTTGTGAGTAGTTGCTGGGAATGCATAGGCTCGAGGTGATGCTTCAATTATCATCATATTCTCATCGAAACGGAACATTGGAATACCTTTCTTGTTTACAACCAAGTTCTTGTCCATAATATGCAATTCACCCCTTCCTAAGAGCTTTCGAGCTCCAAAGATGTTCATTCCGCAGTTTGGAAGATATTGAACTTTGGTAAGGTGTAGGGTGTGAATGCCTCCATCATCTGTTGCGCATTGCAATGTTCTTTCGCCTTGGCCAAGTGGCTTGGTAATGCCACTTGCTGTGTCAATGGATGGAAGAGTCAATGAGGTTTCGTATGAGCCACTGTTGAATTCCTCGATTGAGCTGGCGATATGTGTCTCTGCTCCAGTGTCAAATAATGTGCCATTTTGAATTGACGACCTTGAGTGGTTGAGTTGAACACAAATGTATGTGGTGGTGTTCTTGCCAAATTGACGATATTCATCTTCTTCATCTGATGAGTTGTCATTCTTTGCCTTCTTTAGCTTGTTTGATTTGCTACTTGAGTTTGACGGTTTAAATGGCATGAACTTCTTTCCAGTCCGTTGTTCCCATTCGTGACGGAGCTTCTTGTTTGTAACGAAGCAGTTTTCGGGTTCATGCCTTGCGTTTGGATTTTCGCAGTTCTTGCACATCTTTCCACTCTTCCCTTTTGCACTGTCTTTGAATTTCGAATTTGGTTTGCCCTTCGTAGGTGGTTTGCCATTGTAGTGTATGCTTCCATCTGCTTTCTTGTCCTTCTTGCGAGCTTCATCCGTAATATCCTCAATAAGCACGGAGAGTGTGAGCTTTGTTACTTCACTACGGGTATTCGAGCGCTGGCGTTCTGCCCAGATTGGCCATGCATCTGAAAGTGCCATGATGAAGAGAATTGGATGCCACGCATCTGGTGGAGAGATCTCGAGGTTGGCGAGCTTCTCAATTGCTTTCTTGAACCCAATGATGAATTGTTCAAGGTTTGCGTAGTCTTCGTACTTGATCTTGGTGTATGTTTCAATTGCATTGAAGTTGAGATGCGCCAGTTCCTTCATATTGAGACTGTAAGATCACCCACATTTCGCGTGCTGACTTGCAACCTGCAAGCAGCTGTGATGGTGTTTTCTTCACATTAGTTTGGATGATGAGTTTCATCGATGCGTCTCCTGCTTTCCACGCTTTCCATGTGGCGAGTTTCTCAATGTCCACCTTCTCATCGAACTCATCTGCTTGTGGAGGAGCTTTGCCTTTTGGGTGTACGAAACGGACAAGGTCGTTGGCATCCGCGAGGTCCTCCATCGCAGTTTTCCATTGTATGTAATTCTCCTCTCCTCGGAGTTTCATGTTCTCTGGGAGGTTATTCCGACCTCCATTGCCTTCACCCATTGTGAAAGGTCTTGTGTGTTTGGATAAGGAATTTCGAGTTTGTGAGAGTTGGATGATGGATGATGAATTCGATCTGGGGCTTCCTAGATTGTAGAATTGATCTTCTTCTGCCTCTTCTTGCTGAGTTGAATCGATCATCTGCTAGAGGCTGCAAGTTCGTCTTGAGGTTTTCGTGGAGTGTATGTGCTGTATGTTAGCGCTTGTCCACGAATTCAGATTGTATGTGCTGTAATGAGCACTTCTCTGAATATGATAACTTTTTTGGCTTTTGCGATAGCCGGGCTCATAACCTGTTGAGATCAGTGGTGTATCTGTATCTGCAGCGGCATAGTTATCACGTTGAGTTGAACAACAGTTCACTTGAATATATGTTTTTTGTATTGTTGTTGTTCTGAGTGAAGCTATCTACGGAACTATTTGTGGGTGGTCCGCAACCCGATTCGGTTGGCGAGCCACACGCCTAACCAATCAGTCTGAGCAACCTCCTCCTTCAACAGATACTGTTTAGAGGGGTGGTAGGGGGTTAGTGGGGGGACGAGAATATTGATGTATAAATGCGATGAGAAAGTTTGGTTGGGGTGTAGGGGTGTATATATGGTGCTTCTAGGAGAGTTGAAAAGAAGGGAGTAATTTCTCATATGGATGGCGGATAGAATAATCGGAAAGGGGATAATATTTCTTAGAAGAGAATTTCACAATCTATTGACGTACAAAACCATCGAAATAGTTTCAGCATTTTTGTTCGAGCCGAGGAAGAATTAATTTATACTCCTACTTAATCTATCCTCCATAATGCATATTCAATCACCCTGCCAAACGAAAGAAGCGTCCTTTATTACCGCTTGCTCGCCAAAACAACAAAAGCCCCAATAACCATGCCTCTCAGAAGCTTAACGCTGCGTTTCCCATTTTCATATCCTCGTCACTACTTTGTTCACCACCTTCCCTGCTATCATTTCAACCGCGTCAACTACCCTCCCTCACATAACAACACAATCCCTGTCCTTTCCTCTCCCCCGCCCCTCCTGATTCTGCCTTCGATTCCCCCCCCCCCGAGAGGTTGAACCCGTGGCTGTGGCCGAGCCTGCGCCAGCCTAATTCTCTCCGCCTGTCTCGCAGTCGCCGACAGGCCTCGTAGCCTCCGTCCAACCTCCGGACTCACATTGGGGTGCGCGGGATGGTGCGGAGGCGGATCAAACGCCGGCTGCGTCGCCGCGTGCTCATAGCTCGGCAAGGTTTCGTCTGGCGATGAGGGCAGGTTGGACGTCTGCAGGGGCGGAGATTCGAGCGGAAATTCGGCTGGGGCTGCTTGGGATTGTGATGAGCCGCCAGCGTTTCCGCCGCGCGGCCCGCTGCTGCCAGCGCCATCAGAACGTGATAAGCGAATGTCGTTGCTGCTAGTGTTGCGGGCGCGGGATGATTTACCCTGCTGTTTCTGGGTGTTCCCGCTCTCGCGTCTCCGTCGGGCTATCTCTTCTTCATGGCGCTCGTTTTCTTCTTCTTGCAGTTGGATCGCTAGTGCGAGGTCGTGGTCCTCTTGTTCGGCTGAGGAGGATGCCACACGCCGATGTCTACCAGATGGAGCCGCATTGGTATCGGTCGAAGCTTCTGAGCCCCCCAGGCGGCTATCCCCATCGCTTGCTGCCTGTCGCGACTGTGTGTCACCGCCAACGGGTCTGAAATCTCCAGAGTAAAACGCGCAATGCTGCCCATTGATGTCAGGCAGCGACTCCCACACAATCTCATCATGGCCAGCTAACCCCATGTCCGTAACGAGGTGCATTAGCTCATCGTTCTGGGGGTTCTTATAAAGCGTGCTAAAGTGGTCATTTCGAAATAGGATAGCAACAGATCCAGGTGCTAGCGCTTTGCGAATAGTCTCTAGTCCAGAGTTTGTGAGCTGTGTACCAGAGGAGGATAAGAAGGTCTTTATAGTCATAATGTCGTCGAGCGTCGTTTGCTCCTCCAACGTAAGGCCTTCGCCGATGAACTTCATCTCCAGATCTTCCTCGCGAAACATGAGGTGTTGTGCGTCCTCATAGGTGCGCGCCGAGCGCGCGAGAGCTGCCTGAGCATCAGATCCGGGCTCGGGGAGCCAGCCGTGGATGAGCGGGATCAGGAAAGTGCCGTATAGCATTATCTCGCGCGTCTGCTCAAAGGTTCCCGGGATCATATCTTCGCGCTCCGAGGGATGTATGTGGGACATTGAGCGTCTTGGGTCGTTCGCCAAGTTTGTAGCGGCTGGTGCGAAAAAACTTGGGTTAACGTTCATCCCGGTATGGAGGGTGATGAGGAACGTATAAAGATCTGTTATATCCGGAAGCTCTTCTGTCCCATCCTCACGTTGTTCTGACATAAGGTCGTCAAGAACAGCAGTGAGCAGCAGCTCGAGGCTGATCTGCTCCCGCGTCCGGAGCGTCTCAATCAACGGTGTAGCCAGATTTTGGGGCGTAGATATCGTAAGTGCATTCACGAGAGCTAACAGTGGGCACGGTCCATTCGCATTCTGCATTAGTACCGGTGTGATCCGCGGGTTCTCCCTCGCTCTTACATCGAACCAGGTGATATTCCTGATCGCGTATGTCTCCTTGCTCTTTTCCTCACTATTCCTGACGTCTTGGCGCGGTGGGGGTGCATTCGCTTCGCCTCCACTGTTTTCATCGTGGCTTGTTGTTGCCTCTTCGGAATCTCCAATATTTCGCGGTGGCAGGTTCGGTGGCCGAGGAGGAATGGGTCTCTGTGATGAGGCCTCATGTCCTGCAGCATCAATAACGCCGCTCTGCTGCTCCCCCGCGCCTGTAGGCTCGGACCCGCCATCCTCGCGCATCGGCTCTTTTTGTGGCACAACAGGGGCAGGTCCAGCGTCCTGCCTAGATGATTCTCCTGGAGCTTCCTCCGACGCACTTTCTGCTTCCTCCGTCACCACTCGGTTTCCAGCTGGAGTGCGGAACAAATCCATCTGGTCATCATCCCAGTTCGAGGACTCGTTTGTATCGTCCACATTGACAGGTGGAGGTGCCCTTGTCGGCGGTGGCACCGACGACCAGGCATCATTGCCAGAATATTCCTTGCCAAACGACGGTGGTACAGGTTGCGCATTTGGCTGTGGTTTTTCTTCCGCAGTCGACTTTTGTTCAACCGGGCCTTCCCAAGAATTTGTACTCTGGTCCGCAATGTTGAGGTTCTGGAATTGATCAGTCACATTGGAATCTATGAGAAGTCAGTATATGGCTATAAACTCAATCGCACTCTAGTCGAGCCCCAATGGCCCTCACCTTGATGTTGGCTGGGTGGCGAAGGACCACTGGCACCTGGCGCACTGGCATCCGGCGCCCTGGGTCCTGGAGCATTGGCGTCTGGCACGCTGGAACCAGGCCCACCCTTCTCCTCCTCGCCAACCCACGGATTTACCTCCGCCGCCGACCCCGAAGCCGGCGGATTCCCAGTATTCTGAGCTCTCGCAAACGGGTTCATTGACTCTGCCCCTCCCCGCGGCCCAGATCGTAGCGATTCCGGTATCTCATTCCATGCTGGGCCTCCCCCTTGCTCCCTCCTCTCACTCCCGGCTCCCTCGCCACCTCCCTGAGTGCGTTGTGTCTGTGGCGCCCCAGCGGTATTTCCGCCCCCACCCGTCGGCACGCCCTCATCAGGCTCCTGCTTGCGACTCACCATGTCGCCGCCGTGTCGTCGATTGAGCCAGATCCGAGCTTCAGAACCACCTCAGGTCCTCCGCGTCGCTCTCAATCCCTCTCCACAACCGGCACCCTCGCAGCAGCGCCCTGGACCCTGAGGTGGCGATAGCCCCGTCCCAGCCTTCCCGTTAGCGCTCGTCGTTTCCAGAGCAATCTGTCGCGCCGCAAGCCATATACCAATCCAGCGTACTCCAAAACTCAAAATATCGTATGTAGAAGCAATAGCGACGTAGCAATTGTATGCTGGATGGCGGTGAACTTGTTGAGTGAACTCGTCGACACAGTTTCAGCGGGGAGAGAGAGACGTAGAGGACATAAAACGGTTCAGCCACAGGCAACTGTGACCTGCATGGATGTTGTGGCGTTGCCGTGAACGCGCTGACGTGAGGCGGGGCAGGGGATTGTGGCGCTAGTGGGGAGGCGTCAGGCATTTGATATCCAGTAACTACCACAGCGAAAAGTTTATAGATATACGCGTCGTCAACTGAACAATATTTCACTTTGTCGTCATCAAGTGTATTTTGCGCTTCTAGAGTCCATTATTATACTGCAACCTGCCTCCCTTCCGTTACTCCCCAAGCCCAATCAGCAAAGTGTAAACTTCCCAGGCCATGACAGTCCACATAGTAAACTAAACGCCATGTCCCGCTCAAATCACCTAGAATTACATCCATACCCCCAATCTGAGTCCCGGTAATATCATGGGCCAGGCACAATCCACACCAGTAACCTCCCCTAAAATGCTGCCCCGCCAACCCCCTCCCCAGCCAACATCCGAACATGCCTCTCGCTCAGTTCCGCCTTGAGACCCATACTCGCAGACTCCCTCGCCAGACGATCCCATTGTGCCAGACCCTTCCGCAACTTCTCCTCCTTCGCATTCAAATCTTCACCCATGCGCTCGAGATCCTCATCGGTCTTGCGGATGCGCGCCTCAAGCTCCTTCGGTACGGGCGAGTAAGTCGGGTCAATCTTTCCACCAGGGATTATGGGAGGAAGGTTCGCGATGGCGGGGTGGACGCGTGGAAGAGAAGGTGTGAAGATCTTGGTGTTGTGGCCGTGGAAGGGGCCCGAGGAGATGGAAGAGGACCGGGATGGAGGTGCAGTCGTCTTCCAATCGCTACCTGAGGAGCTTACTCTTGGGCCGGTAGGAATGGCTGGGGTCGCAGATGGTGTTGTGGCGGGCAATGTCGGGGATTGCACAGGGGGTGGCCTGTTGTTGTGTACACCTCCCCATCCTGGCTCTGGGCGGCGGTCACTGAAGGAGCCTCTGCCGCCTCTTGGGAGAAACCCTCCACGCGCAGGAGAGGGATTGAAGTTGCGAGGTCCCGATGGTGGTGCCACCGCTGCCGTACCCTCGGGGCGACTAGGCGCAGGCATCGACAGCGGTGTAGATTGGCCAGATGCAGACGGCGACCGAATTGGAGCGCTGAAGTTGCGGTTGGCGCTTGGGCCAGTAGGCGCTCTGAAGGGTTGTGCAAGTCGAACTGGTGATCTACCCTGTACCGCTGAGGATCTCACCATCGGAGACGCTGCGCGTGCTGGCGATCGTTCCCGTGGCGTAGATCGCGTGGAGTCCCGGCGCGGAGACCTGTCTCGTGGAAAGGGTGAACGCATACTCTGAAGGTCATCCACAGGTGGCGCTGGGCGGTAGCTAGGTCTTGGTGATGGGCGCCGTGTGCTGTGTTCAGAGTTTCTCCTTGAAGATCTATCTCCCGAAGGTGATGGCGATCGCGGTCGTCTCCAAGTGAGCGACATCTGGCCAACTGCGACGCGGTCGTCACGGCGCGGTGGGCTACGAGACCTTGGTCGCCATCCACCTCCCCTTGGTCCTGCTGGTGGAGATCTTCTTGAGATAGGTGATCGAGCTCGTAATGGGCCACGGTTGTCAAATGGAGACCGCGACCTGCGTCTATAACGATTGTAACCCATTGTCAGAAATTATTCCAGTTTGTGTAATGTTTAGGGTTGTGGGAGGTTGTTAAGAATTGGAAATATAGAAAAGGTAAAGGTATGGTGGGAGCAAACAAAGAATTAACAAAGAGGTCTCGTGACGCGAATTTACAGCTAAACAACTAGTATAGAACACGATCCGAGATTGTACTGTAAGGGGAAAAAAACCACAACATGGTAAAACTCACCTAATATCCCTTTCGTCTAAATCTGACCTCCTTGGCAGTGACCTGGGGCGTCTATCATCACCTCGTCTTGGCGAAAATCGTCTCACTGGACTTCTAGGTCTCCCAGGACTTCGCGGCCGCATAGGACTCCTTGCTCTGGCAGGACTCATGGCCCTAAGTGGACTCCTTGGCCTCACTGGGCTCCTCATCCGCTGCGGACTCCTCGGTCGCACTGGGCCCCTCGGACGCTGCGGACTTCTCGCCCTCTCTCTATCTCTCCAATTCTGCACATCTCGTGGGGGTGTTCTATCCCTCGAGCGATACGCACCCGGTGACCTCGACCGCCGTCTCAGCGGTGACCTATCTCTGCCACCGGGAATATACGCATCCGATGCTTGTGGGCTCCTCGGCCTCTCGCGCCGCGGCGAGCGATCCCGGTCTCTATCGAATCGCGAGGTGTTGGATCGCGGGGAGCGCGGACGCACAGAAGGGCGGTACGACTCCCCAGCGCCCATCTTCGTTACCTCGCCATCGCCACGAGGGGCGTATCTGCGGAGGCCTGTTAGTGATTGTGCTGGGCGGTAGCGGTCGATAGACACTCTGGTAGGCACTCCTAGGGCTTGGCGTCGGCTCAGCGCTTGCTGTCGACGGGGTGGCAGGATGACTATCAGGTCGCTGCCCACTCGGGCTGCTGGGTGGCTCGGAAGATTTGGCATCGTTGGAGGAGCTGGTATATTGGGGAAGCTTGGTTTCGCTGGGAGGCATGGCATCATCTCTCCTTTGTCTGGCACGGTATTGGTTTCGGGTATGGTCTGAGAAAGCTGGGAGACTGAGTTTATCGTGGTATTTTCGGGTTGGGTCTGGTTGGCGAGGCCGGGTTGTGGGATCTGTGTGCCAGCTTGCGAAAATGAGGTCTGAGTGGTTCCACGTTCACCAACACCACATCCTTTATCGTGATCTACAGCCGTATCGTCGCCTGATGTAGATATAGCAGGCAACTGCGGCTTTCCAATGATACAGATTCGCGAAGGCGGTGTGGCAGAGCTTCCATGGTGTCTCTTTAATGCGCCTCTTTCAGCCTTCAATCCCATCTCGTTCGCAATGTGCTCCGAGAAACTGCGAGTTTTGAATTCCTTGACTGATCGCTGGACTCTGGCAACTTCGAAGACTTCACCATCTTCACCGCCTTCAACTTCTTGGTCGTCGTAGCCGTCGTAGTCGTCGTCGTAGTTGAGGATCATGTCCATGCCGAAACACTGAAGAAGGGGGCAAACAATGAGATGTAGGAAGGACAAACCTTCTATCACGACCACGATCGCGGTCCATCTTATCCTCCGTCCCTATACTAACTATACAAATAATCCTACAAATTCAAACAGAAGGAGCGATCGATTTGTGGCGGCAGTAGCGACTGAGATGGCTGATATAAATATGGAAACAACTCGTTGCCCACCAAATTATTATTCGTTCAATCGGAGGCCGCCACGCTAGGGTGATGCCAAGACAAGGCTGAAATACAGTTGGTAGCCTTGCCCGTACCACTGCCCTCTACGCTAGTGCATCAATTTATGTCGATCATGCACTTTATCACTTATAATGAATGATAAAATGAAAGGTTTATAAGTATTTTAGTTAACAGCTTAGGATAATGAAATAGCGGCCGATTTATCAAATATTTTTATAAGACCTCTTAGTAACTGCTAAGCAATATGTGCATGATTGTGAATATTGTGATTTTGTTAAACGTAGTTCACAAGCGACCCGTCATATTTTTCTTGGCATCGTACAAAATTATAAAATATCTTAACAATTAATTAATTAAATTATTCTAACTCTTCAGCATTTAAATCATCAGATGTATCTACAATATTTAGACAAGTTCGTACGTTGAAAAAAATATCGGCTTAGCAGTGTTATCGACTAATCGGACATCGTCTTGGCGAGATTGGACTGTACGATTAATCCTCTCCAATGGTCCCGGAAAAAGGGCCGGGCCCCCCAAGATATCTTATACAGGGAACCCCCTACTACCAACAAACAACCAAGTAAGAAACAACCAAGCAACATCATGTCGTGGATCATGGATAAGGACCAGCATGAGTCCCGGCTCAACCACCTACTGCAGACAGGAGCCTTTCGGGACGCGAAGCTCCCACTAGGCCAGAGTCGCCGCCAGTTCGCCCATAGGGCTCTAAAGCGGTGGTATAAGTTCAATGAGGGCTGCGACATCATCACTGCCGAGCGGACCTGGCGCCAGCTTAAGGCTGATATGAAGGGCTATGACCTGCCAGCCCCCGACCCTAAGGCCTTGGTTTCCTACCACTCCATCCCCTCGACCCCCCAGACGCACCTCGTCCTCGACCCCCACGGACGCATCCTAGCCTACAAGTTCCGCGTCCCCCTCAACCTCATCGCTACCCTAGCCAGCTCGAGCGAGCAGCTACCCCCAAAGAGCGTACAGTGCCAGAGGCGCGGCCACTTCGAGTGCTCCCACTTCGCCCTATGGGCCGACTCCTCCCCGGACCTCATGATGAGTAGCGAGTACCAGAAGCAGCTGCCCCATAGCGAGGCCTTCCTCCAGGCTAACGACAAGCTGTACCGCTGGCTAGGCCACCAGCTACGCCTCCTCAGCCCCGAGCTCTACTGCCTCTACAGCCGCGTCGACCGCCACCTCGGCCCTAGCCAGCACCGGCTCGGGGGCGCATGGCACGGCACCGTCGTCAACCGGCAGATCGGTAGCTCTGAGGACCTGCGCGCCCACAAGGAGTGGAAGGACTGGCCGAAGGGCCTTAATGCTGTTGTCTTCTGGGGGGACTACACTGGGGGCGGCCTTGTCGCCTACAACCTCGGCCTCTTCTGAGAATTCACTCCACAACTGAAAACTTCGCTCCAACCCCGGAAAGCTCCCCACACCCCTGAAGCCCCACTCGAGCTGCAAGGCGCACTTGATATCATAACAGGTAGAGCATAAAGTGCAAGTAGTATAGCGGCGACCTAGCTGATTAGTACGGAAGAGCGACGGGTCCTGGTATAAACAGCAGTGCACACACCGAATAGCAGGTGACGAACTCATTAGACCCTTAAACCAAGTAGCACTATGGAAATATAGCAGTTACAGAAGTTATGGATTACTATAGATTACAGATTACGGACAGGGGTATTACGGATAGGGGTATAACGGTAATAACCCTAAGGAAAACTCAGCACACAAAGCATTACGAAGCCTTACGGACCGTAGGTCTAAAGCAGTAATGTAGACGCTAAACCTAGGGTAGTAATAGGTGGGTCGTAAACCTAAGCCAGCCAATCCCGAATTACGCCAATTGACAGCCAATCATTCGGGCCTCGCCTATATAATGTCATATAGTTAAGATTCTAGGGTTGCAAGAGCGGTTTACTAGGGGTTGCTTACATAACTGATTACAAATCCAGGGGGTGTCTGCGATGTCGTTCGCTTAGTATTCGGACACCGGGGTCCGTATAGTAGAACTCACTATTAACTCTCTCGATTATGGATGACTAAGCGGCGCCTATCAAGCCGAGGCCCAATCCTGATATCCATCGTTGCCCCTCATTCGACATGACCTGTACCTGTAAAGATCACATTGAATTATAAAGAAAATAAATCTTCAAAATGCCAGTCTGCACTGTCCTCCTTCTCTCTCTCGCAGTGCCAATACCCCAATTCCTCTCCGCCGTTTCATCTTCTTCCACCACCCCACTCACGATAGGAAGGGTCGTGCGCTGGATCATCCTGCCAAATTCGACTTCTACAGATAAACTACTCGCACAAAATATACATTGGGATCTGCTTCTGACCCTCCCTAATTCCGATCCTCTTCCTTCGGACCTGCAGACATTGGTTCAGCACCAATGGATTGTCCATGCCGGAGTGTATGCACCCTGACCTCTCATCGAACCCTGAGAATTGCAGACTAATCAAACTCTACAGTCCTTCTCGCCTTCTCCAAAATTTTGAGGCCAAGAATGCCCAATTGCTCCACCCTAAAGCAGGTGACGTGCCAGAATTGATCGGCTCATTAACTAAGCCGCGCACTGCAAGCTCCTCCCAGAACCTCGAATTGAGCCCTGAGTTGAGAGAGTGGATCTCTATATTTAGCGCCCAGGAAGGGAAAGGCGCCGTATCAATGCTCAACCTTCTCGCTTTCAAGGAAGGAAAGAAGGGAGATTATCTGAAGTATGGCGCCGAGTTCGCGAAGTCGGTAGGCTTGCGGAGGGGCGGGACTGCAAAGATCGTGGGGACTGTGGTGCGTCAGGACGGTGACGGTGGGGAGGGGTGGGATGAGGTCGCTCTAGCACACTATCCCAGCATTTGGCATTTTGCAAACATGTTGGCCAGCGAGGATTATCAGGCTGTCAATCGGAAGTATAGGGTAGGGAGCTTGAGGGATACGTTTATTTTGTGCACCACTGAGATTGGAATTGAGACAGAAGCGGATAAGAATCATCCGAAGCTGTAGTTTGGCATCGCAGAAGGGCTCTCCGGTTCTCCTAGAGCCTCCTCCCGACATATATCGTAAGCAACAAAGTCATCATAACATGTCCATTAATATAATAAATGGAACCATATTGTCTTTGAACATATAATATTTTGATATACTACCAAACTCCTATGAAAAACCAGCAAGAATACTATTTCGGATCTCCGATACCAAGTCCACTGCTACTGGTGCATTGTTTTCCTTTCCCTCAATTGCCGGTCTTATGATGGCTCGGCGGTCCAGATATAGTACCAGCCGTAGAGTTGTTTCTACTGGGACCTTTCTCGGCGACTTTCTGGGCAATTTTCTGGTCCCATAATTCTTCGTGTGCCAACCTCATCTTTATAAATTCTTCCCTTTCCGATATCCCCTCCCGAACTATATCTGACTCCTGCGGAAGGCCAAGACCATCATGGATGAGTGTAACTTCTGGATTTAGAACTTGCTGCTGGTCTTGGTCGGGCCAACTACCAGGTGGTCCATGACCTGCTTTCTGAGCCTGGACCCGCTTCGTAGCACTGATGATTGGAAATAAGGTGAAAACGCTCGTTGCATTTCGCCTCCTTGGACCTACTACTTGGCTGCCACCGTCAGAATATAACGCGGCATAATTAAGGGCCGCGATCTTCCAGTCACGTTTGTTCCCTTGGTTAAGTTTTGGATTGACAGTGAACGTTCGTTCGTCGGCTTGAGCAGTGGTCCAGACGGAAATTGCTTGTTTGGTGATCTGTAGAAGGTTGGCTTTGAACTGAAGCAAATCTGACGGGTCTAGTAATGGGCCAAGAACAGATAAAACGAGTTCCATAAGTTTGTCTTCCCTGCTCTTGATAGCAGGTACCGCGCTCAATGTTTGGGACGGACTGTGCTGTGGCTGTGTATGAGCAATGGATGTGGATTTTAGTGCACGCATTGTGACTGCTCTCCAGACATCTGCGGAACGACCGGTACCAACTGCGCCTCCTATGTCTTGAAGAAGCTTAGATAATTTTGAATCTTCTGACGTTATATCGGAAGAAAATGGTTGCCAGACTATATTGCATATAGCGTCTGCAACTACCCGCTGGCCATGGGCAATTCTAAGCTGCTTTGAAGTATCGGTATTCGAGAAGGGGACATCGGAAAATGTCGAGTCAGCGACAGAAATTGCACCAGGCAAGCTTACAACTTCCTTTATGTTTGTCAGTTAGAGATATAGAACGGTAAAAGGTGGAATACCTCTTTGTTTAAGTCTCTAGCTAGATATCGGACAGAAATGTCCTGTATTGCGCGTGAGATATTGAGGAATTCGCCTTGGCTATTTTTCTTGTGAGTTGCATTACCTTGCAAAGTATCAGTTAAGGTTTGACTTACTAATATTCGATAGGTTCGCTGTTCAACGAAAATTCTTCCTGTAGATCCTTCAACTTCTCCTCAAGTCCTTCTATGTCCTGTTTGTATACTTCCTTCAGTCTTTTCTCATCCTCATACCTCTCAACCTCTTTTTTCGATTGAAGTCGCAGCTCGTCAATCTGTGCTTTCAGCTCAGTAATCGTTTTAGCGTCCTTTTTGGTTTTTGCTTTTAAATTTCCAAGTTCTTCCTCTTGGTCTTTCTTCTGCTTTTCCATGTCAATTTCTAGGGCTTTCATTTGGGCATGGAACTTCTTATCCTGTTCTTCCGCTCGCCGCGAAATTGTTTTGATAACTTCGGCTTTCAATTTCGACTCCTTTTCCTTTAGCGCCTCAGCGGCTGCTCGCTTTTGCTGATCGAGTTCTACTTGATCTTGTTCCAGACTCTTCTTCTTTGCTAAAAAGTCCTCAACATCCCTTTCGGCAGCTTTATCTTTCTCGGAAGCCATCTTATTGAGGACGTTGAGGGTAGTCTGTTGATCTGCAATCGTTATGTCTTTGTTCTCGACTTCCTTCCGTAGGTTCTCATATCTCTCTCTCCACTCCGGAATCTGAGTAATATGGTCTGCATGTTGGATGCACGATGCACTTATGGCTCTAATGGCGTTTTGGATATTTGACAACTGCTCAGACGCCCCGCGAAGCTCTTGAGCTAGAGGGCTGAGGTCCGTCTCGGGCTGGGAAACCGAAGGAGCGTTATTAGACTGGCTACCGGTGTGTCCGTTGGTCCTCGGTAGCTCGTCGTCCATGGCTGGTTTGTTTCGCTTTGTACGTTGTTTACTTTGCGAAGTAGACTATCATCAATGACAATTAGATCAAATTCCCAATGCGACTTAGAATTACCAATTTCATACCATTCTTAAAATTGTGTCGTCCTGTTGGCTGCGAGTTCTACCAATTCTAATAGTTTTCGAGAAATTCCGTTTGAAGCTGCTAATGCCAGACGTCAATGGGGCTTCTCTACGGGTTTTCTCTGTTCTTAGCGCCCTGGCCAGATCTTGACTCCGTGACATAAGGCAATAACTGATAGCTAATAAGTTACGAGCTTGTTTGGGAATTGCAAGCGTGCATTCTCAGCGAGAAGAATTTGAGGAAATAAAGCTTCATGACCAATGGCTCATTTGATCATTTAGTTTGATAACGGAACAGAACATCATCTGATTTATAACGAGGCCGCCTGTAATCTCTTGATGGAAGCAGTGTGCCTCAATAAAGCCTCGGCTACCCCCATTCAATTTTCACCTATAATAAATCAAGGCTTGCAGGTTTTAGAACGTGCCTCTATGCCACTGGTTGAGCCATAATCTCTCGAGTAATTCGATGTCGTATTGCATTGCATCGGCGAGATAAGACGGCTCAGTTGCCAACCCTTACATCTTCACCAATAAAAAGCATCCCGGACAGTGACGATGATGGACCAAAAAGATATTCAAGGGTGTACCATCGAGAAACTCTATTGGCCATTCGTCGCACCATCACCGAGAGGTTGGATGTGGGGGAGCGTCTGCCTAGACGCAGAAGTCAGATGATTCAATAGCTATGGGCGACACATTTTGAGCCTGACCATGCACTTGGGATTTAGTCCTACGTGTCCCCGCATTAATGGCGAGGCTGAATTGATCTACGCAGCAGGGCAACAAAACGAATCCAGTAAAGTACTATGTTGCAAAAGTCGCCCGTTCGGATGCCCAGAACCGGCGTACTCATGCATAGGAATGCAGGCAGCCGCATTCTACCAATTGACGCTGCGCGAAACGACCCTTGGCCGTCGAAGACACATATCAAACCCATTCGCCAATATCTGCCTGTTTCCCCCACAAGTTCTGCACTTACCTATTCTGCAGCTAGAATATGTAGTTATATCCCAATGAAGCTTAGGGCCGCACACAGCACTCCTTCGGTCACCAACAGATGAAAGCTTCCACGTCAGTATCAACTGGATGGATGCAAACAGTCATCAAACAACTATTCCGAGAGATTATGCAGCATGGATATGATAGCTTAAAGCCAATGAGAGAATTGCCGGCACGTAACTGTAGAAATTAGTAGATAGATAGATATAGACTGTCCTATATTTCTACGTGATTGCAATCAATACGTTCCAATAAGTCAAATCTATTTCTGAGACGATGAGTACGGGGTATTTCGCAAGACCGGTTTAAAGTGTCTATATGGATGAAGTGCCTCGCCCTGCTCGAGTTATAGCTGCTAAGAAACAATTACTGACCACGGCATGCGATTAGTATTGGCCAAGGTAAATCCCCCAACAGATGGCCGTGATAGTATACTTTGTTAGAACCAACTGCTCCTCCATGGTTCCACACGCAGCTTTTGACCCCCATGCATATTCCCACCGTTATAGTCTCGTTCAAAGTGACCCTCCTATAGACAATGGCACTTTACCTGTAAAGCTTTCCAACCTAAATCCTCCAGGGAGTAAAACATTCGAGCAAGAGCCTCTTATCAATATCAGGCACCTTCCATAAACGAATACCCAGCATCAGAACCACGCCCACTCCTCACCCCACCCTCGTAATCGAATCTCCAGCAAACTTAATTGCTACATTCTCCCTCCCAATAACCGTACTCCTCCCACTTGACGGCGCAGTATCGTCCTTAAATGCAGGAATCACAGTCCCACGATTCAGTACGGCATCCCGTGGCGCAGAGATCTGGCCCGGGTGGTTCCGCTCTCTGCGGTTTCGGTTGCGGCGACGGAGCTGGAAGCAGCGTGGCTCCTCGATGTCTTCGATCTCGGACTCGCGCGTGGAGTCGAGGGCGTTGGATATGGTACGGGGGAGGTAAAAGCCTAGTTTTCCAAGGGGGATGCTGATTCCGTGGACGACCTAAAGGTGTTAATGGGGGTGATAAGGGTTGAGTGGGTTAAGTGCAACTTACGATGCTGCAAATTACAAGGAACCAGACGACGACATTTAGCGTTTCCGCAAGCGATTCGGCGTCTGGTCTCTCAGCATCGCCAGTAGATATCTCGTGTAGAAATTCCCGTCCGATGTAGAGATAAAAGATGGCCGAGACGCCGATGGGCCCGAAGAAGCCGACGAAAACTGCCTGTCGCTTTTCATCAATCTGGTGGATGAATTTGTGCATGGCGAAGACAACTGGGAGGCGTCTGAAAGCCAAGATCAGTATCCCAAGGAAGACGAGGCGGTAGAGGGGAATGACGTTATTGTTGAGGAACAACTCCCAGGGGCATGTGGCCCCATACCACAGGAATACCGACAAGTTGAGAAGCATGTCGATTGTAGGCTGAAGCGAGTCATCCAAAGTCTCTAGACGGAACCAATCGTCCCACGTGAAAGCATTTCCAGCAATAAAACACGCAAGGACGTCGTCAGTCCCAATCATCCCGCACGTTCCGAGAATGAACAGAGCAAGCGCGATGGCAAAGACAAGGAAGCTTTCGCGGTCGACGAACCTCCGCTCTTCTGCCCAGTGAAGTAGCTGGTTTGCAGTCCAGCCGACAACAGCGCCATATACGACACTAAGGATGATCGTGTAGGCCCAGGTCTCGTAAAACCACAATCCCATCGCCTTTCCTGCGCCACCTGTCTGGCCGAGGCCGCCCTCACCAGTATATTTGATCAAATATAAGGCGAGAAATAAGAACGGGTACCCAAGTCCATCATTTGCTCCAGACTCGGCGATAATAATCTTCTGCAGCTCCTTCGGCACATTCTTGTCCGCAAATTTGCCCTTGACGATGGAATTCGACAACACGGGGTCCGTCGGCGTGACACAAGCGCCCACCGCCAATGCATGCAGAAATGGCAAGTTGGGCACCATGGCCCAAATCAGCAGACTACTGCACATCCACATGGTGGTCATAACAGGCGCAAGCAAAAGCGAGAGCGGTTTCCATTCTCGCTTCAGATACCGACTGGGCAGCTGCACGCCAGCGAGGACAAGTTGGACGCCAAGGACGAGGCGTGAGAAGGCGAGCGTAATCTGCTCGAGGGCAATTTTATCTCCATTGGCATATTCTAGTGGCCTCACGAAGTTGGTGGCAGGCGGAGAGAAGACAACTCCCGCGAGAAGGGATATCACTGATATGGAGGTCGTTAGTGGGGGTGCTGCATGTGGCATCATTGGCTGGGCAGGCTTACAGGCTTCGGAGAGATAGAATTTCTCCTTGAACAAGTACGATACAAGCCCAAAGAGCGTGATGAAGCCGCCAAGAACAGAGCATACAACATTAAAGTTTGTAACAGCGAGTGTAGGCATCTGAGCGAGATGTGCGGGAGGGACGAAGCTTATCGTGTTTCTGATCAGCGCAATCCCGAGGAATTGGCAGAGAGCAGCAAAAGGTGAAATATATGTCAAAACATAGGGTAATAATGAGAGAAGATGGATTTTTATCTATGGTGGTTATTATTTGGTCAAGGGAGAATAATTTGCTGTGGGAAGTTGAGACGAAAAAGAAACGCGTTTGGCGGCGGCCGAGGCTCAAAAATCTAAGCGCCAAGGCTCTAAGGGCCCCATCCTCATTGTTTATTGTTGCTTGTTTGGGCAGGAGCACGTGGGGGAAGGGAGCTAGCTCTCCAGACGTGCCCAACTTCTTCATAGCTGCCACTGTAAGTTTAATAGGTTTATGGCTTTCTTAGTACCGGCTACCGGCGGCATTCGAGACTATTATATTGGAAATTAGATGAAAGCCGTTTCGAGGAGGCTGTATCAAGCGCCATTAGCGCTTATTATGGTGGAAAAGGCCCGACAATTACTCCGCCGATCACCATCCAACACCCTTCAAACACCTTCATAATCATAAATTATCATAAATTTATCACGAATAATCGCGAATAAGTTCCCCTAGACCCCTACGCTACTGCACCCATTTAACTAGGTTAACGCCGGTAGTGCGGCGGTAGTCAATGCCACCCCCGCATAATGATGTTCATACTCTATTTCACTCTATTTGGCACACGTGGAAGTGCACAGTTACCCTCATCCCCTCCCTCTGGTTTCCCCATTTTCCAAGCTTTCTCCATCTTCCTCTAATACTTTATCATACTCTAGCATAGAATAGACTCCTCCAACTCGGCACGTTGACCAAGAGCGCGAGGTTCTAGGGACGTCAGTATCTGGCAATGAAGATAGGCCCGGTAGTGGTTGTTGTGTCGAATGTTGGGGCGACGGGTAGAACCAACGGATTCAGCGTCCCATCATCTCAGTTCGATTCCGGGGATACAATCGTCGACCTCTTTACCTGCACAACGGTAACCGCAGGTTCCGGAGGTGCGTTTCAGAGTGCGGCAAACAATGGCGAATCCAGAGTATGGATACGCACCCAGGACAAGGGCAGCTTTTGCGCTTGAAGGGACAGACTGCTTGGCAGACGGTAGAGGAAAGGGCAGCGCCTTCAGTTACTGGGGAAAAAATGACTTTTACGCACAATAAATGTTGAACTAAGTGGATTATCTCAGTACAGCGGTAGAAGTAAAAGTAATAATGGTGAACAGCAGAGCACTGGTGTATGTGATTGTTTTGTTGTTGTTGTTAGAGTGAAGCAATCTACGGAATCTATACCTTGCCAGCGCACAGGCCAAATCCATTACAGTGGCCATACTGTATGGCTACCGTAATGGTCGGCGCGACCGTCGCACTGGAGCGACTGTATAATCGCCGCTCTAATACTGACGGTGTATTGAACTGCCCGTAGGCGGCGACCGTGCCCTCAGTCTGGGATGTATGGCCGGCGCGACGGGTTTTGGATGTAATACTGTAGTTGTAATAGTACTGTAATTGTGAAGAACCACCGCCGCCGGCCATAATCCGTAGATGCCTCGCCATAGTATGGCGACGGCAATGCTGCCGTAATTCTGTGTGGACGCCGTAATGGTGGCCAGATCCATATCCAAACGGTGTTGTTAGCGAAGCCGTGGCGGCAAGTTCACGGTGGTCATCAAGAAACGCAGAAATCCTGGTATAATACTGTATATTCCTAAACTACCTACTCTATATATCCAGCCCCGATCCATGGCCCCGTCCAAAGTAGAGGTGCGACTATTCCAAAGTCGCACCAACCACCAACCAGCCCTCCAGACGTCCACTGCCTCCTCTGGCCTAGCGCTCCAGGCCTTGATCCTATCCCGAATCCAATGTCAGCTCCCAGCCCTCGCCGTATCCTCTAGTGTATGTGTTTATGGCTGGAAGTTACATATCCAGCCAAGTCCGCCGGCCCAAGGTTTCTCTGTCGGGGGTGATATCCAAGGTATTGCCGAGCTATTGTGTTTGTTTCGTATCGCCAGTCTTCGGTAAGGGTGTGGTTGTTAGTCGGAGACAGAAGAGCGTCGAAAGCTGGATATCTCCACATTAGTTTGGCACTGTTCTAGATGGATCCAGATATCAGTTAGTGGTTTGTGATGAAGGGGAACGCAGACTTACCTAGTAGATCTGTGCCCGAGTTGTTGATGGGCTGCTGGAAGTTCTCGGCCGAAGCAGGAACGAGCGGAGGAAAGAAGAGGAAAAGAAGAGGCTGACGAGAAGCTGTACTTACCTTGTGTGAAGCTGGCATAATGTTAGCAGCCACGAAGAGCACGACACAGAAGGAAACTCCAATGTGAAAACATTAGAAAGAAGCTGCTAAAGTAGCACGAAAAACAGGAAGAAGAAACGGAAGAAATAGACAAATTTGAAATAGATAAACGAACCAAATACCAACCGTTAAACGAGTGTGATCATCGCCAGAGCTCTGAGCTGCACTGCTAATAAATATTAACCCAAAACATGAGAACGAAACGATACCTAGACCTGTTGAGTATAACCGGCTATATATGGCAATGGCCAGGGACCCCAAACAAATACCAAGCTCTGTATCCATCTCTAAACCAAGAGCTAAGAAACACAAGGTAAAACACGAAAAAGCAGAGGAGAAAACGGAGACCCCGTTCAAACCAGAAGTACCTGCCTATGCATCGCTGATGACAGCTGTCTAAGAACAGCTCCACGGATCGTGCATAGTAAACACCCCAAAACACAGCCAAAATCAACCCTGAGCTATGCAACCTCCGTTTTTTCAGAATTCGGCAGGCCGACCCCTTCAAGATAAAAAACGCCATACAAATTGAGGATCTGCGCAGTACTACCTTAATGGCTCGAAAATGCGCAATATGCAGAGCATTTCAAAGCTCATAAGATGCCTAGAAATCAAAAAATAAATCGGAAAATAAGTTGAGAATATATTCGGGCTGTCCATGGGAGTGTGGGCAGCAGCGAGGACTCACCAGGTATCTTAGCACAGAAGATTCCACTCAGGGCATCAGTATCGAGAGGGATAGTTCGGAGACGGGCGTGAAAGGGTATGGCTAGGTGTCGAGCGTTAAGGTGGGAGGCGGCTTGGTGTTGAGTATCCAGTGTGAAGACACATGGGGAGCTTTGGATTGTGAGAATCCATCCTAGGGATCATTCCAGGTTTGAAGCCCAGAATGAGCCTGGGGAGGTGCTGACATGACAGGATGTCGAGGGCTGAGGGTATGGGAGGGTGTGGTATCGATATCTTGGCACCTGGATACTTTGGTTGATGGCATTGAAGGCCGGAGAGGTTCCAGCATAGAGACCAATATCTGGAGATCATTGCCACTGTGATGATCAGCATGCGGGTGGGTCAGCTTGCTGTCCATTAGAGCGAAGAGAATTGTATGGAGTTATTTGTAGGTAGCTTGGGCTTCGGCAAGGTCGTGGATTCAAGAGTGGTTTTGGCTTTTGCGATTAGAAGAGGGGAGTCAGCGAAGACTCAGTCAGAAAAAGTGGTGATAGATAGAGAGAGAAAGCTTGCCTTGATGTGTTTCCAGCAAGATGATCTAATGGGCTCTGGGAAGCACGACTGCCAGCTCGACTGTCAGCTGTGTTGACGGTGGTACTGATGAGGGCTTGGATAACTGGACCTCTTGAAATATCAAGCTTCTCAAGCTGATACTGGCATTTGAAATGCCCCAAGGAAATACTCCAGATGATGACATGAGCTGTGGCAGCTCTGCTGAGGCTTGGCGGGGTTTTCCTGGTATTGTGCTGGGTGCGTTAGAAATACAGAAGCAAACCCATCTCAAAGCCGTTTAGATAGCTTTCCTATCTAAATGTGAAGTTGTTGATTGTATAGAAAGGTAATAACAGCAGTAGAAATACAGTATCCAAGACATAGAAGTATGAGTGGAGGTGAAGAGATGGTGAACTCAGCAGAGGTATGGAAGCAAGCGATTTGTGGGATTCTAGCACAAAATGGAAGGATCCCAGCTTTAGTCTAGAGAGCTCCGATTTACCTAATAACATTCTTTTACTGTGCCTAGGCTAGGTCACTAAGCTCTGTAGAGGTTGCATATGCCTAGATGATAGGGAAACCTCTTAGGGATCCATAGTGGTCGAAAAGTGCGAGTAGCTTCGACGCCATTTGCTTTGACTATTATGGTATCTAATATGGGCACAGGATCGGCAATATCAAAGAAGTGATCCGCCGGCCGCCGAGCCGAGAATGAATGACCATGCTGTGTAGAAGGGGTAGTTGTGGAGTTGACTGAGTCCAGGGCATGGATGGCAATAGCATCTGTCCGATGGTCGGAGAATCTTAGATAATCCCAGCGCTTGCGATACAGCATGGGCAAGCGGGGTTACTGACTGTCTCGTCCCGGCCATTCTGCTGCTCTGGGATCTACAGTCTAGAGGCGTTCTATGTTTGATGCCCTATACCTATAGCGATAAGGGGGCGGCCCCTTGGTAGCTGGCTTGAGCCAATTGCAACTCTTGCGGCGCTCGACACTAGAGCATATGCAGAATAGCAGCGAGCGCGTACCGCAATCCTTATCATATTATAACCCCAAACAGTAGCAGTTGCTGGTTTCGTAGTAGTGGATTGATTAGCAACTCATACCCCATACCCCATACCCCATACCCCATACCTCATACTCCCTACCCCATACCCCATACCCCATACCCCATACCCCATACCCCATACCCCATACCCCATACCCCATACCCCATACCCCATACCCCATACCCCATACCCCATACCCCATACCCCATACCTCATACTCCATACCTCATACTCCACACCCCTATACTCGGTACCCCGTACGGGGCACAGCAGGATACAGTACGGCGACAAAAGTATGTGTATGTGTACGGGCCTGTGCTCTGCTCAAACGAAGTAATTCCAGCAAATTTGTAGTACAAGACCACGGGCCATACACATAACTTACTCTTATCGCCGTACTGTATAGGTTGTCGTTAGTCCGTGCATTACTTGATTAACCACGGCAACTGGCGCAGATGCATGCAATTACTCCACTATAAGTATCCGTTCCCATTTCCATTTCCATCTCCATTCCCCCCTTGCTGGCTCGCGGGATGCAACTTGCTACCAGCTCCTAAACTACCCCAACACAGTTCTTGAATCAGCTCCAAACCCATCGA